CTTTCCACTTAGTTTTTCTAGTCTCGGTTAATAGCTGACTGACTTGGAAGAATCAGTGTACTTCTAGTGCTTTTGTACAACTATCTTCAAAGCCTTTGGCATTCTTATATGATTTTAATGAATATATTTAGCTCGTGAGACATGCACCGATGTTTACTTTTCAGATTTAAATAACCTGTGTATGAGAAGCTGGTCGCAGCCTTCTGGCCTTGATGCTTCCAAAACCGAGGGGGGCAGGAGCTCCTAACTGTCTCTGCCTTTGATTGTCTCTTATTTTACTCACAGTTGAATTCCACTAAAAAATGCACCGAAGAGTCCAATCATCCCCAGGAACTCGACTCGACTCAGGGTTCGGATGATGTACTCTTCCCAGACGTTAGAAATACCATAGAGTGTGGCTCCTCCTAAGACCAGAAGGTCCCCCACTAGCTTGTTCTCTCCTAGAAACAAACAAACAAGGAGAACATAATCAAAACATTCCTAACAAGAATCTGCATCGGCAAACTCATTACCCTAGTCTGAAAAAAAAAGTTAATCTATTCTTCAGTGATGTATATTCTGACATCAAAAGGTGCACCCAACAGGAAGTTTCACTGAGCGAGGGGCCAGCTGTACCCTTCTCACAAACTCTCTGCGACAGAGACAGAGGCCCCTGTGAACAAATGCTACTCTGCACACGTATTATACTGACTTCAGGGAGCTTTCCAACAGGTTAGTGCACGGGGTGTAGATACGAATATGAATCCCCACATGCTTAGCTACGAATTAAAGAGCAGTTCAAACTCATCGGGAGCAAAGAGCAGGCCACCACCTCTCATAAAACAGCGACTCTGGATGACAGGGCGGAACTGCCCTGGTGCGTTTCCAAGACTGCACATCTTTACAGGAGTAGAAAGTGTCCTCTTTGTCCCTCGGGGTGGCTGGTGTTTAGGAACTGCTGAGCTGGCGGTTACAGCTCAGTGAGGAACCACGATGCCATCAGGGCTCAGGGTTACAATAGCAGGTCCTTACACTTGTCCTGGATTGGGGGCTGCAGGGCAAACGCTTTTCATCACAGGGGTGGGAAGCACTTGGGAATCTATGACCTAGAGAATGCTCAGTGCTT